TTTTTTTTTTGTTGTTGTTGTTTTTTTTTTTTTTTTTTTTTTTCCTATGATATGCACTTAAAACCTGAAGATCCATCTTTGGCTCCCAACTGGGTCTCTCTGCTCCCTGCTCCCTGCTCCTGTTCCAGAACAGATTTATTAGTCCGTTAGAGACTGCGGATTGGGAGCCAAAACAGACGTCCCTGGGAAAAACAGTGAGTTGAGGTTCCACCTCACATTCTTTTCATTCCAGCTGAGGTGTGCTTCCCCAGGCCGCTGAAACTCTTATCTCACAGGAAACCAGTCACTGACACTTCTCTGTGCTGTAACATCAATCACAGAGCAGTGCAGCTGAGTCCCATGCGCCAGAGTTCTGGAGGAATTCTTGGTCCGTCCGAACTAATCTTTATACCTGCTACTCCAGCCTGCTATGTGCCCATCTTCCAGTGGCACCTTCTGAACTAAGCTAAGCATGAAATATGGTACAAAGTTATAATTTTCATCTTGAGGAAGGAATGGTGAATTCCAGGACATGGGTCTCCTAGGACGTGGGATCCCAAAGCGCAAAGAACATAAGGGTCTCCGAGTGGCACTGTCAGCTTGGGGTTACCTCTTTTCCAGTTTCAGACTGTGCTATGGACAAGACCGTTGCTAGCATTTCTGTTACAGGCACCTTCTTCTGTTATGGCCATGGCAAGGTTCTGAGTCAAACTGGAGGCAACGAGGGAAAATCTGCCAAACTGACAGCTGGGGTTGAGACGGTGGGAAGGAAGGCAGAACGCTGTCACCCGGGGGAGGCCTTGGGGGCAAGCAGATGATGGGAGGGCAGGGCCTTCCCCAAAGCCCTGGATCTCGCACACTCGTGAATGTTGTCTTTGCCTGTCATGTGATCAGAGGTGTTAAGTTGGAGTTTTCCTCAGAGGTTCTCTCTCCCTCTGCTGACCTCTTCCTTTTTCGACCACCTGCAAAACACAGTTTGTAAGTATCATTCTGTGGGACTGGCAGGATATTCATACCCTCTCAGTGGTCTGAGCTTTCTTCAAAAAAGGAGCAGAAATAGAGACAAAGCCCTGGGCAGTTGGACTAGAACTCATGTGCATTATATCTTGGTGCCGATATCAGCGTAGTTAACATCGGGAAGGAGTAGGATGCACCTTCTGCGCACTGTGACATCCCTCAAAAGGCACACATGTAGGCTCTTGCCTGCCATACAGACTTCCTCGAGGGGACTGAATAAACCCCCGTAATGCTTGAGGATTATGCCTCCCCTCCCCGGATGGTCCCTGCCTTAATGCAAGACCCTGAGGAGGACTCATCACACAGTCACCAACGTCATACGAGCCAGGGCTGGTCGGCAGAGCTGGGAGCCACTCGCAGGACTCTAGCTCTGGAACAACCGCCCTCTGCATGGAGGCAGGTGGGGGCAGTTACATAACTGTCCTCATGATCCAAGAGCCATCTGTCTCCAGCTGCTTTCAGGGAGGAATATTTTCACCTTATTCTTTGCCACCGGCTTCCGGCTGTGGAGAATACTGCTTTCCTTTCTCCCATCCAAATTCTAGCCAGGCCTGACCCTGCTCAGCTTCTGAGATCAGATGAGGTGAGGTACATTTGGGGTGGTGTGGCCGTAGACCCCTTTCCTTTCTATGAGTCTCCTGGATACAGTCTTTTTTTTTGAAAAAATTTTCTGAAGGACTAGATAGCAAATATTATAGTTTTTACAGGCCACATGGTCTCTGTCACAACTACTTGATCTTGCCATAGGTAACAAATGGGTCTATGATCCAGTAAGTCCTTATAAAACAGGTGGAGGAAGGAGGCTGCAATTTAACCCGTGAGTATGCTCTGCAGACTCCTGTCCTAGAGAAGCAAATGGATGGGGAAGATCCCCACTGTATCAGGGGTACAGCAACGGCTTAAGCTCCATCGTGTGTTTACTCCACTGTACTTCATTGGTTCCCAAAGGGAGTCAGTGGTTCCTGCTCTGGGAGAGAGATCCTAACATGCTTTCCCTGCTAACCCCCAGGGTGACTTAGGTCTGGGTGAGGAGCTACTCACTCAAGGTTCTCAGCAGCTTCTTGCCCATGGTTTCCTCAAAGTCACTGCTGCAAGGGCTGGTCTCTGGGTCCAGGGTGATATTACAGCACTCATTATCTGATGCTGAGAAAAAGAATTAATGTAAGTCTTTTCAGCCTCCACGTCCAGGGATGAGGCAGGGTATTCTGGATGATGTCCTCAGCAGGTGAACGTTCGGGGCAAAGAGCCAAGACAGGGTGAGTGTGACAAGAGGGGGATCCCCAGGATGGTGATGGCTCTGGTGGTTAGCAAGAGGTGTTGTAGGGCCGCAAAAGGAACAATGACACAAGGGAAGTCCATGCAAAGTCACAAGTAATTCCCTCTCTGCAAACACTGGTGAGGGGGGAAGAGAACATTATGTTCTTCACCCTGCATCTTTGCTGGACAAAAAGCATATTTGAAGACCGGTGGCAACTCCGTCTCCTTCCTTTACTCACACAGACCTACTGCAGGGCTCGGTAATCACTGAGTACGTTGCAGGGCTCAGTAACAGTCAGAACCCAGTGAGGACTCAGAGAGCCACAGCACGTCAGAGCCGGGAAGGGGTTCACATCCCACCACCAGCACAGTAAGAACCAGCTAGCGAGGTGGAGCGGTGTGCGGGAAGCTGCACTGTACTGGACGAGGCTGGGCCTGCTTCTAATGCATATTTGAACGTGATCAAAGCATTTCCCTTTTCCCAGGCCTCATGGGTTCTTGTGTATCACATGAGCAGCATAGACTACAAAGACTGCTCCACCTCAGTTCTGAGTTTTTTGCTACATTTTCTAGCTATCTGCCTTAACTACTAAATTTGGTATGTGAGGGGGAAGGAGAGCATTTAGGTCCTGGAATGATGACTGTGTAGGTCCCAGATTTTCTAGGTTAGCTGCATGTTCAGACATGTTGTATCATTAAAAAAATCTACAAACCTTTCCAGGTCATTGCTCTGGACCTGCAAGGTCTCTTACTGTGGATTGGGGTAGGTAGGGGAACTGTTGGTTTGGCGCATAGGTGGAGCAGGTGCTGAAAGCTTGGGGAAATACACTTTAGTGAGGCAAGCACAGAGCTTGGACCACGGGGACACCGGAGCTTGGAGTAGCCCCACGGTTAAGGCAGACATGCTCAGCGTCTTAAAGGGAGGTGATAAGATCTAAGCCCTCAGGATAAGTCCTGCGTCCTCCCTGTGCTATAGGGATCCCGGAGGAAGGGGAGAGCCCTGCCAATATGGGTGATGGCTGACATCAGTTTCCTAACTTGTAGGTCTAGTGATAATTACCTAATATTTATAGAGCATGGTACCAAATACTGTAGTGTATGTTATCTCATTTGTATTCAAAGCTGCTTTATGAGAGAGCTACTGCAGTTTGTATCTATTAAGATAAGAAAACTGAATCTTCAGGTAGGTAACTTGCCTAAGATTGCACAGTTCATAAATGTAGGAGTCAGGGTCTGAACCAAGGCAGGGTTATATCTCCTAATACCGCACCGTGCAGCTTTCCTGGGGGAATACATTAGACAGGGCCTGATGTGCAGCCGGTGCTCTGCAATAGTCAGTGCTCCTTCCTCGGCTGCATGAAGAGGTGGAAGGACTGACACAGGGCTCCCCTTACCCAGCTTGCCCTGGTCTACTCTGGGACCCAAAGGTGGTAACCCTCCCTTGGCCCTCTGGGCCCCTCCTGACCTGCTGTTGTGGGAACAGCTGCAGGGGACAGCAAGACTTTCTGTGTCCTGTGCTCCTCGAAGTCGGTCACTTCTTCCCGGGTGAAGGCTATCTCCTCCATTCTCAGATACACCACCTCCCCAGGGCTTCTCAGACCATCTGAGCGGCTGCCTGGAGGTGGGACAGTATGCGGATCACACCTGTGCCTTGGAGGGGACTTAGTGGTCTGTGAGGCACCAGGTAGCAGCCCTGGGCAGGGGTAGGGGAGGAAGGCAGGGCCATCCGCATCCCATGCGCCCCACTGACTTACACGGCAGGCTGGTCCTGTTGTTCAGTAGCGTGAGGGCAGCATCATCCTTGGGAGTCTGGGGTGTGCCCCGGGTCGTGGGGGCCTTGGTGGAGTCTCCGTCAGTGCAGGCCTCCATGTCGGGGGACTGGGGCGAGCTGTCCATGTGGCAGGCGGTGAGGGCATTCTGGTATTGCTGTCGGGTAATCTGGAAGGGAGTTGGCAGAAGCTTAGCAGAACCGGAGGACCCCTCTCTGGATGCAGCAGCTTTCCTGAGCTGACAAGCAGTTCCCCTGGGGTGCTTTGGAACCCTGAGCTCTGAGGCCTGAGACCTGTGAGCTGGGGGCTTTTACCACTCTGTAGCAGCCCAGAGGCTGGGTAGTAATGAGAGGTCTTTTGCTTGCTGGCCACAGTTGCCACTGTTCATTTTTATAGGCTCCAGCCTTCATGTGCACTGGAGGAGCCAGTCTAAGTGCACTTTGTGTTGCTATAACAAAACAAACCTACTTTGTAAAGGGAAGAGGTTTATTTGGCTCAAGAGGCCGGTGGCTAAAAAATCCAAACAGTGCTGGTATTTGATGTGGGCCCCCGGCTATTTTGATGTCACAACGTGACAGAGAAACAGAAAGGGAAATGGCCAAGTGCAGAAAGGGCCAAGCACATAGGTGGTCTTGCTTTGTAACAACCTGCTCTCACAAGAACTAATCCGGTCCTGGATTAACTACATTAATCCCTTCTAAGGGTGATGCCTTCATGACCTAATCACTTTCCACTAGGCCCCATCTCTTAAAGGCCTACCTCCTCTCAATAATTTACACCAGGGACTAAGTTCCCACACACGAACCTCTGGCAGACCTACTCACACCGCACCCAGCACACAGATTACACAGACTGTCCTATACTGGTGCTGCTCAATTCTCAGCATCAGAATTATGTGAAGAGCTTATGAAAATAAGATTGCCGCTCCAAACTTCCAAAGTTTTCTATTTTACTAGATCTGGGGTAGAAGCAGAGTTCGTGTTTCTAGCAAGTTCCATGTAATGCTAATGCTGCTGCTCTGTAGATTACACTTTGAGAACCACTGACGGAGACCTAGTTATAGTCAGACACACAGGTCCCACTTAGATCTTTGTTCTTTTTCTATAAAGGATTTTAAAGGACAAAGTGTCAACAACCGGCTTTGCTATTTTTTAGGTCAAAACTATATGATCTATGGAACCATGGGCCTCAACCTAGCATTTGTCCAAAATCTTTAATGAACTGAATGTTCCTGTGAAGAACATCTTTGTTTTGCAGTGCCCCTCTGTGGAGAAGTATGAAATCAGGTTCCAAAATCTCCCCCAAAGATGGAGAAAATTAGCCGTGACACTAATGGAAAAGGAAATGTCTTAAATGTCACATGGTGAGCCCAGCAAAGCTGGTACAGAGGTTGTATTCTGTAAAATAGCTTGAGATTTGCCTTCTAGTTTAATCAAAGGAGGCCAAATGATCCTTCATCTAGAAAATATGGCAAGAAACACACTGCCTGCTCAAGACCAAAGTGCAGTCCTGGTTTTGCCTCTTTCAAACTAGGTGATCCTGGCCAAATCATTAACCTCTCTGAGCTTGTGAAAGAAGCCCAGGGATAATGAGATAATATGGGTGAATATGTTATACAACCGTTAGTGATGATTAGTTTAAAATATGTCCACAGACAGACCTCACAATTTAACTTTACAATGGCCATACATTTATAAGACAGGTGTTCAATTTACTATATTCACTCTAAATTGTCTCTGGCATGTCATGAGGTGGGGGTGGGAGGATATGTCTCTTCTGTCCCCAAAACCAGCGTGATTGGTAGCAGTGTGACTGGTTGTTTTGTGAAGGCAGGAGTAGGTCTCAGGAAAGGAAATCCTTAACCAGAAAATATAGTAAAAGAGGGGGAAGGAAGGAGATGCCCAGGAGGAGGAATGGGAAAAGAAGGGAGGAGACAAGACAGAATGAGTGAAGGAAAGAGGAAGAAAAGAGAAGGAAGGGGGACTGTTTTGGTTTGACTTTGAAATGGCTCTGCTGGCTTAGGGCTCCTGTTGGTTGGTCAATTGGCTGTGCCTCTCAACCCAGAAGCCTCTCGCGACTGACAATAAGATGCTCTTTTAATGAATTCATTTTTTGAAAGATTTTACCCACATTGTGTCTACAGTGAACTGTACCACTCTTTTCTTGTTCTTAGGACACAGGGATAGGCCTGTCCATTGTTATTACCTGGATCCAGGGACCCAGGAGCTCAAACCCTTTCTCTAAGCATTGTTATGGGGCAAAGAAAGAGCTGGCAATGAGTAATTACTTCTGGTAGCAACGCTGAACAAATGGAATGGCCACCTCACAAGGGACTGAGCTCCCCATCATTGGAGGCATTGACACAGATGTTAAGTCATGGCTTGTCCGTCATACTAAAGATAAGAGTGAGACAGCAACAACTAGGGTCTAACATTAGGGAAAAGAGCATGGGAGTACGTGTGTGGGAACAGGGCGCGGAAGTCTGCTCCGTGTGACCGCGGTGTAGAATAGGAAAGGCACCACCGTTTGCTTACTTTGTTTGTATCTCGCAGCCTTGCTTTCACATTGTTTTCTTTTAATGTGTTTAAAACCATAAACTACCGCCACGCCAACGCTGTCATCTTAAAATAAACTGCAGATAAAGTACCACTCTGGAAAGTGTACTCCGGGACACAGTCTCTGCCCTGCTCCTCTGAGCTGTGTTATTTCCTGTCAGTTTTCTTCCCATGTTCAGCGACAATTAAAAAAAAATACAGATGAACGAATTCATTTGAATATGAATGAATATCTTTCAGAAAAGCATAGAAACAAAACAATGAAAGTTAATATATTATTATGCCACGAATATATCTAAGATCTTTAAATGGGTCCTGTATTCTAGGAACTCAGTCAGTAATCACTATTTCATTCAATCTAGAAACACTTTCCAGGGACAAATATTCTATAAAATATTTTACATCTGAGAAATCTGAAATATAGAGTACTTTATAATGTATAAACAGTTTATCAATCACAAAGCTAATAAGAAAAATTAATCTCATTTTGAACCTAAGTTCATAAATTCCACACTTTTGATTACTTATATTTTTAAGACATGTTAAGAGAAGTAGAATATTTCTACTTCAATTCCAGGCATCATGAATCATTGGAGAAAAACTATTATTCAAGAAAAAATATTCTGGAACAATGATAGCATACAAAAACTTATTTCACTAACCAAACACATAGTTACAGAATTAAATGAACATGTTAAAGAATTAAATGGATAAATAAAACTATCATCTAACAGCATAACTAACAATATAAAGACAGTAAATAGGCCAGGGATATAGCTCAGGGGTACAAAGGCCTGCCTGGCAAGCGCAAGGTCCCAAGTTTGATTCCCAGTACCATAAAAAAGAAAGTAAATAAGAGATCATTTATCAGCTAAAAACAGAGAAGTAATTTTCTTTTTTATTGTTAGTGCATGTTGGTAAAGTAAGGTTCATCTTGGTAAAATGATACATGAATATAATTTCACGTATCTTGATCTTTTTCTATCCCATTACCTCACTCTTCCTTTCCTCTCCCCACTCTGACAGCCCTCCCCGTACCCACTATCTACTTTCGATTTCCCTGATATGACAGCTTCTTTTTATCTAGCATGGTATGTCAAACAGAAATAGAATGTGAGCCATATAAGCGATTGCATATTTTTTAGTAGTCACATTCAAAAAAGGAAAAGAGAAGCAGGTGAAACAATTTTAATAATACATTTCATCTAACTCATTATATCCAAAATAATTCCACTGCAACAGGCAGTCTGTAAAATTATCAGGGAATTTTGCATTCTTTTTTCTATTAAGGCTTTGAAATCCCTCATGCATTTTATATTTGCAACATGTCTGGATGAGCCCCATTTTTCTACTGTGTTACATGGCAGCAAAGGTCCAGCAGGTCTTCTGCAGGCCTAAGCTGCTCTGCCCAGTTCTGAGGACCTGGCCTTGGGACGGCCAAATGTCCCTACTACTCACCAGCACAGAACTGTGGGGACAGCCCAGATGCTCCTTTCTCACTGCCCCCCCCACTGAACCATATCTACTCACCTTTCACATGTGTTTATGAATATCCCCCACACGGCATCGCCTTAACTCCTCTCTGATTTTTTCCCAATTTTTAAACATCCAGACATTCTCCAGCCACTATAGTGTTTTACAAATGCCACATAATTTTGTAATCAATTAACTAATACCTAGCATTGGTCACTGTTGTTTAACTTAGGTTTCCTTTCTCTAAGTAGGACTTAATCCATTTTAAAAGGCAGATGATTTTATATAGATAGACTGATTGATTGAAGGAATCAAACTGCTTTTCACAAAATAACATGGTTTTATTTTCTCTTCACTTCTATTGAGAAAACCATTTCTTAGCAATAGCTTGAGTTCAGACACCCCCAAACTCACCCCAGTACTGAACCCAGGGCTTTCACACTGAGCTACACCTCCAGCCTTCTAATTTTGAGACAGGATCTTGCTGAATTGCAATTTAGGGATTCTGCCACCAGATGGTGATGGGTATCTTGGTCAAGGTTATACAATCCAGATTGTAAAATATCTGCCAAATATTCTTAGTTTAATAATGATATGCACAGTGCGCATTTAAAAGATAATAGAAATTTTTAATTCCTCCACAATTTAACTAACAATTCTCTTTTTATTTTTTGGTGCTAAAGATCAAACCTAGGGCTCCTTAGCTTCTTAACTACTATTAATCATGGCTTGTTTGTACCTTTCCAGGCAATCATTAGGTGAACTTCCCTATCTCATTTTGTAACATATCTTGAAAACAAATTACTTCTGGACTTTTTAACACTTCTGGAGGTTCAGTTTGTTGGACATGAACAGTCCTTGAGAAACCACCAGCAGGGATTAGGCTTCTGAAAACACTTTTCCACACAATCTTCTCTTAATCACCCTCAAAATTCTCCTTGGGTTACAAAGGGGGTGGGGAAGGTAGGTAAGGGAAGCAGATAACACAGCAGCCTAAACAACAGGCCTGATGAGTCTATTAAATCGGAAGGAGGCAACTTTCAACTTAATGTGTGGCATAGTTTTAGGAGAAAGCAAAGCTAAAATAAATGTTTTGATTAAAACAGGAGTTTCAACCCATCAAGTTTCCCTGGAGAAGACTACCCATTATCATCAGAGATTTTAGGGGCTGAAACCAGAGATTTCAAGAAGCTTTTGAATAGTGCTTCAATTGGTTAGTCTTCTCAATATCAAAACGTCTGGGTGGGAAAAAATGTCAGTGTTGTGGACTGGTTGGCGGCTCTGTAAGGTGCTTTAGTCTGAGAGAAGGACAGAAACCTGTTTCTTAGACTGGACCTTGGACTTGGGGTTCCCCAAACTGCCACTGGCTTGGATCAGTGAAGAGACTGCTCCTTTTTTTAAAATTTTTTGGTACAGGGAATCAAACCCAGGACCTTGTGCTTGCCAGGCAGGCCCTGTTCTGCTGAGCTATCTCCCCAGCCCTGAGGCCACCCTTCTATGTGCCTTACTGTTTGTAGACTGCTCCTTTTCCCTATGTCCTCGGAGTGGGGCTATGAAACGATTTGTGTTAGGAAAATTCTCACAAATTTCCTGCTAAGTATTTGTCTTAGCATATCTCTCTTTGAGGAGCTGCTAAATCCATCTGACTGCGGTACTTACCCATCTATGCAAGCCTAGTAATGCTTCTAAAAACTCTGGGAGGGCTTATTAAACCTGGCTCCTAAAGAATCTCATTCACTTATCTCTGCATAGCAGCAAATCAAGTCTCCATATTGATTTTCTGAACTTCTACATGACGTTAGGGACTGAGCGTGTACCCTCAAAATCTCTCTGTTGAAACCTAATCCCCAGTGCAAGGGCATTTGGAGGTGGGGCCTGTGGGAGGTGATGAGGTCTGAGGGTGGGGCTGGAGTGGAATGAGTGCTCTTCTAAGTAGAGAACTCCTTTCTCTCCTCTCCTCCATGTGAGTGAAAAGGACACCTGCAAACCACAAACCAGGCCCTCCCAGACACTGGATCTGCCAGCCCCCTGATCTTGGACTTTCCGCCCTCCAGACTGTGAAAAAGAAAGGTTTGTTGTTTCAGCCACTCAGCCTATGGCAGTTTGTTACAACAGCCAAAGTGAAAAGACCTGAGAAATGAATTCAACAACAATTCCCAATGCACTTAAATAGAATTCAAATTCCGTGCTCTGGCCTGAAGACCCTATGTGGCTGGGTCTTCCTCTGACGCTCCCCTCCCAGCTCACGCCGGCCCCTGGCTTTGCTCATTATGGGCTGGCACTCAGATCCTTGACTTACCATGCCCTGCCCCATCTGTGTTTCTTTCTAGAATATTCACCCCGCCTTCCTTTTCATGTTTCAGCAAAAGCGTCTTTTCTCAGGCTGCTCTGACTGCTATTTTAAAGGCAGTCTCCTGGCCTCCTCTATCCAATCACTGTTTATCCCAAGGCCCTTATCACTACTCGGACATATCTAGATTTTTTATGTGTTTACTTGTTGTCATCTTTTTCTCCTTGTCAAGTAAGCTCCAGAAAGGCACGTGAAGGCTTGCCGCCTTCACCCTAGTATCTTGTCAGTGGAATCACACACTCGTTATGAATCCACCCCCCCCCCAATCATGTGCAATACTCCCAACTGCTAAGCGGACCAGTTTGGCACAGAAGAGTTTCTCTTCTCTCATGTTTTTCTCTACGTCTCCTTCTGAGGAAGGTCAGCAGCGTGAGCAATGAAAGGGCTTCTAGGCTGAATGTCGCAGGGAGAGGAGTCAGGCTGCGGCTTTCTAAGGCTTAATCTCCCTGTCACGGTAGACTTGTCAAATGCCCCGTCACACGCCCCTGTGAGTAAGGCTTGGTTAGTCCCTAGTAACTTCTCCCAGGCTCTGCTTCCCTACAACTCTCTCCAAAGCCCAGTGATTTTGGGGCTTGAGCTCTGGAGGCAGACAGACTCAGCACTGAAGCTTGACTCCATCACTTATTAGCCATCACTTACACTCTTCAAGCCTCAACTTTATCGGAACAGGGGGAAGGAGAGTAGGACCTGCCTCACAGTGTGGCAGGAGACTAAATGGACAATACAGACAAAGGGCTCAGGAGAGTTCCTTACACGGAGGACTCCCACACAACAGTTATTATTCTAACCTACCCTCCCAGTTCTGTCCCTCCTGCTAGTGATTTTCCGTGGTTAATTCTTTTCATGGCTACTTTTATCAGCTGACATCAGTTTTAACTCAAGATGTTTGTAGAGCTCTGGGGCAGAGACAGCCGGCCAGCTTCATGCCCAAATCATCAGGGGCTGTGCTCTGGACGAAAGGGAAGGGCCTTCTCCTACCTGTGTGATCTCGGTACGTCTCTCATCACCCAGCCTGCAACTAGAACAGTTATCAAGTATACTCAGTGGGTATTTCCCTGGGCTAGGATATGTGGGCTGTAGCTAAGATTTCAGGCCAAAATTTGTTATGATTTGCTCATTGCTAGAAAAGAAAACAAAATAACAGTGGGGTGAGAGAAAAGGGAAAAATTTAAAAGGCTTCTTTGCAATGCCAATCTCAAGGAAAGGTGTGAAGAAACAGTCTCTTTCAACTGCAAGGTAAAGGGCAACCTTTCCAGAGTGGTTCTCTTAATAACTCAGTGGCCGGATGCTAAGGGACTATTTTGATTTTCTACATAAGATTTTCTGTTAGTGCAAGGGCCCACTTGTGCTTTAGATTTTAAATATTAAGGTGCAAAATTATACCACTAGCCTTATCATACTATTGTAAAATCACAGCATGGTTCCCTTTGTGTATTTGGTTTATTAATCACCTGCAATTTGATCTTGAAAAAAAAATTAATAAAATCAACCCATGCTTACACCTTTCCCAATGGTAGAGGATCCAAAGGGAATAATTCTGCCAGAAATTTATCACAGACAAGCTGATCTCCCCTTGCTTTCTGCCTCACTTTCTCCCATGAAAAGCAGAGATCAGGAGATCTTGACAGGGACAACTACTGAACAATAATGAAGTGTGCTGAGATAACAGGGCCTTCCCAAAGCCAAGGAACAATTACCCCCGGCATTGCACTGGAACACAGGGGAAGGTGATGTATATATAACATGACTACGGATGGGGTCTCCTTGTCCAGCTTCCCCAGCTAACTCTGCCCACTGGGGGAGAAGAGGGGCTGCGCTCCGGGGAAATTACCTTCACGAACTGCACATCGCTGAGGATGTGGACTGAGTAGTCAGGTGTGTAGAGGTTGTTGCTGCTGCTGTACAGCTGCGTGTTGCTCCCACCAAAGTCACTGCGCTCTCTATTCGGAGACTCAGAGCGATTCAACCCGCTGCAGCGAGAAGGGGATCGGTTTACTGCAGATGGTGAGGAAGAGGAGAGAGAGGAAAGACAAGAAGGAGCAGAAGAGACAAGGAGGAGCGGGTAGAGAAGACAGGGAGTGGAGGAGGGAGAGAGAAAAAGGTGCTGTTTACTGAGGTCCAACAGGACTATCAGGAGATTGTGGCCCTGGGTTGCGGAAAGGGGCCCTCACCTCCCCATCAGAGCCAGCAAGGAGCCCCAGAGCTTTGTTGGGGTTGCTTCCCTTGAGGCATAAATCTCCCTCCCTGTGGTCTCTCCCAGCAGGGTGGTTGGGCAGTTGTTTCCCCACTAGACAGTAGCAGAGGAGGTCCACTGTTTATATTGGTTCTTATTTTAAGATTAGGTGCAAGAGGACCTCAAATGCATGAGTACAGTCCAGTGAGGGTGCTTTGCTAAGCTAGAATATGAAACCCTTTGCTAGGGTGACATATTCCACCTGCAACAAGCCCTGTTTTAGAAAAGCCATGGCCTTAGGTTTGCCCTGAAAATCATCCGTCACAGCACAATCAATCTTCACCGGGGTGATATGTCTTAGGGGGGTTAACTCAGGCCTGCCCAAGCACTGGCAGAACTTAGGACAACACTGCGGAAAAAAAGGTCCCCAGATTATATGGATACAATACTTGGAAATTGTAAGTCACATTAATAAACTGTTAACATGTGTCCTATTCTTGTTTATAGCAATCCGAAAGACCAGTGTGAGTCCTTAGAGTTCTGTGCTAGAAAACAGCCCTTGCTCTGAGGCTTCTGAATCCACTCTCTCTATGAATGGTTTGGGTGAGAATTTTAGGCTCCTGTGCATCTGAAATGTGATGTAGGAAGAAGAACAGGGAGTCGGGCGGGCACACACCTTTGGCTGTCTGAATCCTTCACCCACTTGCAGGACTGGGACTGAGAAAGGTCCACGTGGGGCCCCTGAAAGTGGGTTAGGGCAGGGCTAGCCCTTGAATAGGTCTAAGTAGGGGCTGAAATAATCCATGGGCTCTCTGCCAAAAGCCCGAATATCTAGTGAGCTTTTACATTTTAAGGAATTTCTTTCGGGAAGTTCAATTAACACTGTGTTATTTGGTTTCAAAATGTACTCTGAACCGCCATCACTGGGATCCGCAGAAGACAGGGTGCTGAAAGTGCCCCAGCGTTACCTCACCGTGAGACAGCACTAGCGGGAGGCCGCAAAGCCAACTGAAAGCACTCCCTCCGCAAAAAAAGAGAACAGGAGCCCCCCCAGAGCCAAGATCAGTTCAGGGGCTCAAAAGAGGAAACCAATTCTTCCAAGATTCTGCTCCCTGCTTTTTTGGGGTAGAACCTTGGGAATTCAGTGTTGGCTCTTCAGCTAATGCGGCCACCAATGAAGATACTGGATTAGCACCTATTTGTAGCGAGTCATAGAGGCTGGCAATCACTTAAGTGGCCAAGCTGTTAGTCTGGCAAACCCTGTAAACAAAAGATTCAAATAACAATAGGATGAATTATTTTCTCATTAGAATCACAATAATCACCGCCTGTTGTAAGTACAGCATTAAGGATTCAAATTCCACCTTATCCTCCTCAGCCAATGTCCCTCACTTATTTGCTGTTGCTTAACCTAGACACCTGGAGTCACCTTTGACTCCTGCCAGTGCCTCAGCCCCGCATCAAGTCCCACCTGCAGCACAGTATGCCCATCTTTTCTTTCTGCAACCAAATCCTGTCACTATCACCTTTTCCTAACAGCCGGGTTTCCCCATTTATAATCTTATAAAGCAGTCCCCCTAATCTGTGGGGCACACATTCCAAGACCCTCAGTCACACCTGAAACTGTCCATAGCATCCAATCCTAAGTATTTTGTTTTTTCCTATATCTATGCAGTGTAATACAGTAAAATACAGTAAATATTAAAAATTTGGATACAGTAGGACACATTGCCATTAATCCTTCCTCAAATTACTTCCCGTTGCTTCAAACAGACATCCCATCATTTTGAAGGAGTTCCTCAAGTCCTTTTTTGTAAGTATCAGTAGTTGTGCTGTTGTGCCTGTTCTAACATCCTGAATGGATTAAAAATGTTTGCTTTATGGTCTTTTTGACTTAGGGGAAAAGCCTGAGATTGCATGATGTCAGATCCAGTAAATAAGGTGGATGAGGGTATGCTATAATGTTTTTATTTGACAGAAATTGATGTAAACCATTGATAAATGAGGCACGATAAAATATAAATATTTAAATTAAAAAATTACTACAGTAAAAGTCACATTGCCATCAAACCCTCAAGATACTTTCCCTTGCTTCCAACGCACTTAGCCCAGTGTGCTTTTTCTTTTGAGACAGGGTCTCGATATGTAGTGCAGGCTGGCCTTGAGCTCATGATAATCCTCCTGCCTCGGCCTCCTGGGTGCTGGGATTACAGGCAGCCACCATGACACCAGGCTTTTAGCCCATTGTTCTTGACAGTATGTTGGGTTTTTTTTTGTAGAAATAAGTTTTAAAAAGTTTAAATACTCATATTATCTTTTGATCACCTCTTCCATGTCCATGATAAAGTTTAATTTACAAATCTGACACAATGAAAGATTAATAATATTTCTTTCTGTTAACTAATAACAATTGTAACAATATATTAAAATAAAAGTTATTTAAAACTTATGAATTGTTTACTTTTGGAGTTTTACATTCAATATTTATAGACCATAGTTAACCATGGGTAACTAAAATTATGGAAAGTGAAAATGTGGACAAAAGAGGATCACTATAATCTGTTTTAGCCTCAGCTGCCAGAATAACATTTTCTTTCTTTCTTTTTCTTTCTTCTTCTTTCTTTCTTTCTTTCTTTCTTTCTTTCCTTTCTTTCTTTTTTTCTTTCTGTCTTTTTCAGACAGGGTCTCGCTATGCAGTTCAGGCTGGCCTTGAGCTCACTCTGTAGCCCAGGCTGGTCTTGAACTTGCAATGATCCTCCTGCCTCAGTCTCCTGCGTGCTGGGATTACAGCTGTGTGCCACCACTCCTGGCTACAGAATAACATTTTTAAACATCAATTAACTTCCTAGCATACCTGCATAAATCCAAACTCCTTATAGTGGCCCTGAAACTTCCATTACCTGGCCCCCGCTTTCCTGCTTGCTGTTCTCTGGGGCCTCCCTTCCCCCTGCCTGCTTTGCTGTAGCCCTCTGAACTCCCTGGGCATCTCAACCAAGCAAGCTACTCCTGCACCCCACCACACTCCCAAGTAGACACCATCTCCCTGCTCCCTTGCCCCTGCCAATGCTCCTTGCTTCTCAGTCCCTGCCTCTCCCTGGAAATGTAACCTTCTCTGAAGGCCCTGTCCGCCTACCCTAAGACGAGTCCCTCTGTTTTCCTCTATCGCCGCCCCTATCCATGCCTTCAAAGTACTTTTCCAAAGTATTAATTACATGTTTGTACTTGCTTATTAGGTTTGCTCAACTCTTAAGTTCCATGAGGGCAGAGATCTTGTTTTTAACAAGACATTATTAATGTACACATAGTGTCTAGCACAGTGACTGGCTCGGAGTAGATATTCAATACAAATGTACAGTGAACAACTTTGTACCTAAGGGTTACTTTGGAGAGTTATTTAAAATCTGAATATTGTTTAAGAAAAGGTGTTAGAGCTCCCAAACTGTACTGGAGTCAGAAATCCAGTTTCTTCAAGAACCTAGTGGTGGGAGAAGAAGAACAGAAATAAAGGTGGATAGAGTTAAATCTTACACACCCAGAATCCAAAGAGCCTCAGGCCATGGCCAGCACCATGAGGGAGAGCCTACAGGGGGCGCCAGGATTCCGTCTGTTTAATAAGAGCATGCGCAGTGGGGCTGGGTGGGGGTGGGTCTTGTCTTGGAGTTCAATGTCCAGCGCATCCACCCTGGATGGAGGACTAACAGGGCCAGTGCTGGTGCCATGCAGGACATAGTGATGCATCAAGGTGATTATAAACAGTAACAGTATTGGGCAGAAAAGGGTCCATTTTCATCTTTGTCCTGGTCCTTTGAAAACAGACCGGTAAACTCTGGCTTGGCTAGCCCTTTGGTGGCTGTTCAGAGAGATGACTGGCTGAGACAGTCAGTGTGTTGCCCTGCTGGCCAGTTTCTGAGGTAGTAGGCAGGTAGTTTTGCAGGAAAGCAGCCTCTTTGGCATGAGAGTAGAGTCTAGAAAACTGTACCTTGACTGAGTGGATCTCAGCCTCAACTCAGTTTGGGCATAAGCAAGGGGAGAGCACGTGAGCAGGGCCTGTGGTTTTAGTAACGTTGAGAAAACACCATCATGCCTTGAGAAGTCTCTGCTTTGCTTGTCTGGACCTGGGCTTCATATACCACACCTGTTGTTCCACACCCTCATCCCTTAAGTCACAATTCAAGATACACTCGGGGAAGATGAGAGGGAACTAGATTCTTCCCATCCACAGAAGTGTCTGCCTAAATCACTTCTCATGGGAAACAGAGACTGCAAGTGCATCCCAGTTCCCCCAAAACTCTCATCATCTCACAGGCACCCAGCCCGGAAGTCACTCTGCCGTCATGCACAGGGTCTCACATGCCAAACACAAGCTACATCACTGTTGTCCTGGAAGGATAAATATGTCTTTTGTTTTGTTTTTAAGTCAATATGCTATTGAAGGTTTATGCAGGAAATTCTAAAGAATTTCCAACACCAAAATTACAACTGCTTTACAAAGTTTGGGCCTATGAAAGCATTTTTGAAAGAAAAAAAGAAATCTTATTTCATGACAAAGAAAGTTTGGTCTCGTCTGAGTATTGTGCAAGATCAGTGTTTTGTGTCCTGCAGCCTGACATTCCTCAGTAGGTAGGATGCTGATGACTCAGCATTTTAGTAATTGTGTACATATACGCAGAGATTTCTGAGCAAGGCAAATGGAAATAGAAATGCTTTTAATAAAAAGGAAGAGAAATCAGTAACAGACGAGTGTCCTAGCAGCATGGCAAACTAGTTCAAGTTGTATAATTCCCCTTGGCATTTCCTAAAAGCACAGAGGCACAGCTTGGGGAAGTAAAGTGACAAAGAAAATCCTAAATATAGTGCAAAGAGTTGTGAAAGGCGATAGATCAAAAAGCAGTGTATAAAACTGACCATAGGAGCTGTCGATAGGAGGTAAAGCAGGCAGCCAATATGTTCTTGGCCCACTCTTGTTCTTACATTAAATTGGCTTTAGTGTGACAAAGTGGAAGGGAGCAGGACTTTTTGGTTCAGACCACCAATTGCTATTGAGAAGTGCGGCAGACCTCATTCCAGTGATCAGTCTGCAAGAGACATCTGTTCTGCCTGGCAGCTTGGAGTGACTGAGGTTGAGTGGAGAAGATGCTGGGATAAAATTGGTGAAAGGTGACGGGGAATATGGAGGGGGATTTCACACTGTCATTGAAGTTGGATGGAATCTCTTCACGTTGCACTACCATGTAGAGGTTCCAAAAAAGTAAACACTGCCCTGAAACTCTGGCTTAACTTGCAGACATCTTTGTCCTGGAAACTTTCACAGCCTTATCAAGGAAATAAGACTGAATATATCGAAGTGGAATACCCTCTTCCCCTTCTAAACATGAAGATATGAGAGGGAGAGAGGGCTCAGTGGCTGCCTGTCTAGAGCTTTTGGAGCATCAGTGAGAGACGGAGGCGGGCAGCTTCTTTTGGTCATGGATTCTCCAAATCAGATGGGAGAGTTTAATTACATAGGCTTGTAAGAGTACAAACTAGGATAATTGCCATTCACCATTCTGTGTAGTATTTAACATCAGACAACCAAATGCCAAGTCAGTCCTCTGTCAAAGCTCGAAATGAACTCTGCAAGTTAGCCCAAGTTGGGATCCCAGATGAACTCACTCACATTTCATGGAGCTTTAATGGTTCCCAAATGTTTACAACTATGAAAGAACCAGCCCAAAGGAATATTTCCATTTGCCACATTTCACAAAGTAGAAAGACTATTTTTAGAGATTCACTATGTATTCTGGGAGAAAACTCCGTGGTCTTGCACTCAAGGCCCATTACACGTGGATAACCGAGCGCTGAAAAAGAACCCTTGGTTTCGACATCTCTTCTCTCTCTGCTTTTGTGGATTTGGAGGCGTTGCTATGGTGAACTCAACATTATCTCCACTGTCAAGAGAGGAAAGAAAGAAATCTGGAGAGAGGGAAGGATAACTACAGTGGGACCAATGAGGAGTTTCATTTTAAAATGAAAACACCTGCAAAAATGGCTAATTACATCATGCTCTGGAGGTAACCCACAAGCCACTCTGCTGTTATTATTTCAAACTAAGGTTCAAATAGAAAGAAATGTCCATGAATAATGATTGGCCATCACATACTAGGTATTTTTGCAGTATTTGGTGCAAGGACCCCCGATGTCAATCCAGTGCGAGCACCATTCTCATTCGCACGACTAAGTGATGTAAATCACAGCCCTGTAGCATGCACAAAATGCGGACAGTCAGATGTGCAGCAAGGTCCCTGGCAACAGGAGTGCAGGATCTAAGACTTGGATTCTAGTCCTCATCCTTCAACCAACTTACTTTACATACAACACTGACCCAATGGTTTAATTTCACCATCTGCTATCTTACTGTTTTCTAAATACAAAATTTCTGCTCATGTCCCAAGGTGGCTATGGAGGTCAAAAAACTAGGAACCATTTATTTTCAAACTTAAAGTCTTACTAATTTCCAGAGGTTATCTTTTTTCCCCTGTACGAGGTTAAGAATCAATACATATGTTTCTGGATCAGAAATCAAGTACGTGACCAGAAGTTGTCCAAGATTTCTGTCCATGAAATACCAGGCCTCTGAGGTTTCTTCTTTGGGGATATGGAGCAGAAAGGAGAGTGACAGAGGAATACCGTGATGTGGATCTTGAGATATCGCCGAGTTGCTGGGAAGACTGGGCAGCTGACTACAGACAGAGACCATAGAAAAGAAAACGGGGGCAAAGATCTGAAGGAGCATCGAGGCGCTCCCTACCTCGTTCTTCTCCATTACACCCACCCATCACTGCTCCATCCTCCAGAGCTGACCCGAGAGTGGGAAAAGGCTGGCTTTGTTCTTGCTTCTGTACTGGTGGGAGTCCTGTTGGGCTGAACACCGACAGTCATGGAGAACAGGGTGAAGGTTGAAAGGGCTCTCAGGGAAACATAGTATCAGGCAGAGTAGAAGCAGAAGTCTCAGCCCCTCCTGTGAGGGGCTGTATAGAAAGAATTAGTCATTTTTCTCTGTCTGACACTGACTTGCCGTGTAGGTTTTCATAATTAATACTGATTAATTGGAATTAATATTCCTCAAACTGGGAAATTACAATTAAGTTATCTGTACTCCCGCTTTGACTTTTTTGGTTGAAAATCTTTAAAATGTGTGCCTTCCCTCTCTGCGGAAGATTCACAGTACACCCTGCGCATTCCCCAGGATTTGCTGTGTTTGAAGGATCTTGAAGGTACATGACAGGGTCATATCTAGTTCCGCTGGCATGTTAGGGAGGGTGCCAGGCTAGCATGTTACACTGGCTGCACTACCTTGCAGTTGTCATGAAGGCATGGGTACTCACAAACAAAGGACAGTTTTACTTCTTCATGGAAAATCACCATTAAGGGAGAGGGAAAACTTTGGCGAAATTTGAGAAGGCGGCTAGTTTGTCTTTAAGTAAACACAGGACCCAGATGTTTTTTGATGGAAAAATGTGATCTGGGAGCAAAGTTAACAGAAATGCTTCTGACATTACAGGCATGGGGGCTTGGGGTTTCAGGACATAGCCTTTTCTGATGTTGTCTACTATCTCCAGACAGCAAAATGTCACTGGAATTTTTAAAAAAGTACTACAAATTAAATCCAGGGCCTCATGGACGTTAGGCAAATGCTCTACCACTGAGCTATAACCTGAGCCCTTTTAAAAAATTTTAGACACAGTCTCATAAAGTTACCCAGGCTGGGCTTTAAATTGTGACCCTCCTGCCTCAGCTTCTTGAGTAGCTGGGATTATAGGTGTGTGCTATCATGCCTAACCACAACTGAATTCTCAATGCCTGAGGATATGGTAGGGTGCACCAGGATAAGGGACACAGAAACTATAAAAGATTTGCCTTTCTAACTGCAGGGCTGTTCTATAAATAAATTCCTGGTTTAGTCTTACTTGCTCTGTGGGCCTAAGAGATTAACTTCTAGAGGTGAAAACAACATGAACAGCTATGTGATTGTTATATTTATTGCACTGTATTCAGTCATTGAGTTTGAAGCTCTAAGACGCTACTTGATTAAATTAATATGAGAGGTTAAACCTCAGAAAAGTTCTTTTGACATTTTAACATCATTCTTATGTACAGAGCCAGAGGAAATACAACCATCACATAGAACCATTGCTAGGAAAACAAGGATGGGTTCATGGTTAGCTAAAGGCAGAGGGCACATAGAAGGAATATTGGAAGAAAAAGATGTAGAGATAAAGCACAGAGTTCCATTACTTCTTTTTTGTTTTGTTTTGTTTTGTTTTTGTTTTTCTTCCGGTACCAGGAATCGAACTCACGACCTTGTGCTTCCCAGGCAGGTGCTTTGCCACTGAGCTAAATCCCCAGCCCCTTCCATTAATTCTTCCTTCTTTTTTCTTGATGTACTTCTTAGCCCTCCTCTCAGCAGTCAAACAAGTAAGGAGAAAAAACTTGTGCTATCCCTCAGCACCACCACTTTCCATGTATTTACACAGATACATCCTGGAAGGTAAATTCATAAATGATGCTACTGAATCAGCAATGCCTGGGCTGCGTGTACAAACGAATGTTAGCTGTGTGATGCGCTATGCCTTACTCATGGGAATGCTGCTGGGAGAGATTAGGTCATATGTAGGACAGTAACAGAGCCCAAAGGCCATCTGCAAACCCCACTGGATCTACAGAGACCCACGACATACATGTATGTTTACCTGGGGAGCCTGCCAGAGAGTCCCCTCTGCTGAAGGCGAAGGTACGTGACACAGAGACAGGCACTAAAGAGTCAGGGCCAAGGGCATGTGAGTAATGAAGGGGAAGATAAACATAAAAGGAGAGAGACAAAGAGCAAAGTGGGTGAGACAGTCTGTTTCTGGATCTTCACAACATCACATTTCTCTACAAAAATAAACCTAGCCTCTGAAAACAGGGAAGTTTACAAAGTTACCCCCCAGAAAACACAAGAAAATAAGGCTTTGCTGGGCTTCTCCTGAAAAGATGTGCTTCCTCTCAGCGGGAATCAGAGATGCCAATGGCAAGCACAGGCAGTGCCTGGGGGCGCGGGGCGGTGCACAGGCAGCATTCCCAGGACTGCATTCCACGGTGCTTTCCCAGCTGCCTGAGTCCCACATGGGTGTGTGAGGGCACATGCACAGGCATCAGAGACATGAAGGCTAAGCATACGCTTCTGCTAGGGCCATACTTGTGGAAGCTGGTGCCTGCCTGGCCTGCTAAGTACTCCTTCAGCGGTCACAGCGCTGGTGAGGGACTGTGCCTTGCTAGAGGAGCAGGACAAAGTAAGGGCCCAATTCTAGCAGTTTTAATGGAAATTAACTTGGTGAATTAAATAACAGTCATTTCTTAGCATGTATAAGTGCTCTAAAGCACCTCTCTTTCTACTCCATTTTCCCTTCTCTTTCCTGATAGTTAGAAATGGAACTGGCTATCACTTGGGCGGGGGTGGGATGGAGTGTGTAGCAACACTCCAGTTGCTTCCTCATCTTGATCCTGAGCAGTGGTATTTCGGCAAGGGAATCTGTCTTCACCTGTCTTGTCTGATCACTCTCAGAGTCCCTTCCAAACAGCCAAATGAACCCAGTCTGTAGGTAAAGGCACATTTAGACAGGTAGCTTCTGTGGTCTTACTTTCTGTACCACATAATTTTATCTGAAATTACTTATCCATACAGGGAAGCAAGAGAGGGGCCTTATACCTCCCTGATAATTATTAATCGTGACATAAGATGTTAATGGACGTTTTAATGGGCCTTGTTGTGAAACACGCTGGAGTAAGAAACCTTCAGTCTCAAGAATTATAGCTCTTCTTAAATTAAATATATACATCACCAAGCAGAAGACTTGATTACTCCCTACTGTACCTGTTCCTGGTACCCAAAGTTTGGTCAAGGCTGTTCAAGAGAGCCGGGCTCACTCACCATGGTATTCTGGGTTTCCTGGCCGTCAGAAGAAAGATAATGGACACAATGTGGACTGTGCTCCTCTCACTCCACCCAGGAAAATCAGAGAGACTTCCTTGTAACCTCAAGTTCAACTTTGAGGCATAGGTCATAGGGCCAGTATTCTGGCAAATTCTTCATCTCATATTTCACTCTCAAAAGCTGAGTCAGCTGTGGGTTAGCTTCCAGGACAAGGGGTGTTTGTTAGGCCAAGATTTTACAAGAGTTTGCCACTCCATTTTAGGATTAATCTCTCCCTCAGCCTACAAACTGAGATTCTTGGCCAGTGAAGGATACTGCTGAGGGCTGGACTTTGGATTAGCACTCTGCTGGGCGAACAATTGTGGGGTTTGGGCAGACATAGTTATGTCATGCTCAACTCTCTTAAGTTGGGAGGCGTTGAGGAAGGAAGGAAGGAAAATGCCTCTTTACCCCTACTGGCCCAATATTTTTCTTTTTGTTCTGGAAAATTTATGAAGATGCTCAGAAGCGTGGAGAAGGAATGTAAGCTCAGCACTTCCTTTCAGTTAACTGGGTGTAAAGGAGGGGTTAGCAGTAGAAGCTTACTCATGGGTCACTGATAAAACTGAAGGATTACAACAGAAATAACTAGGGCCAGGAAGGAAAGACAGGAGGAAACTGGACTGATTTTCTCTCTCTCCCTCTCCTTGTCCATCCCTCTCCTTCCTCCTTTTCCCTCCCTCCCTCCTTCTCTCTCCTCTCTCTCTCTCTCTCTCTCT